GTGGATTGGGGGGGACAGGGACATGGGGATGTGGACTGGGGGGGACAGGGATATGGGGACGTGGACTGGGGGGGACAGGGACATGGGGACATGGATTGGGGGGGACAGGGATATGGGGACGTGGATTGGGGGGGACACAGGGCATGGGAACATGGCCTGGGGGACCCAGGGCACAGGGACACGGGATGTGGGGTGTGGGAGATGGGACACGGGGACACGGGCAGTGGGATGTGGACAGATGGGACAAGGGACACAGGGACACGGGGAAATGGGACACGGTGAGGTGGGAAGGGAGAGGGCACGTGGGGACCTGTGGGGACAGGGATAGAGCAGGGAGACCGTGGCAGCAGGGACAATCTGGTGTCCCCCCACTGCCCCGTGACCCCTGTGTCCCTGTCCCCATGGGTTTGACCACGAGTCCCACGTCCCTGGGGACACACGGGGACCCACGGGGACAGCGAGGCTGGCGGGACGGACGTGGATCTGGGAAGAAGGGTGGGGACAGGGATGGGAGCACAGGGGACAGGGCCACCCCTGTGATGGTGACACGGTGCCCCAGGGCAAAGCCTGGGCTACGGCTTCGTCAACTACGTGGAGGCCGGCGACGCCGACAGGGCCATCGGGGCCCTCAACGGCCTCAAGCTGCAGACCAAGACCATCAAGGTGCCCTGGGGACACGGGGGTGGCACCTGGGGGACTTTTGGGGCGGGGGAGGCACCTGGGAAACACTTTGGGGTGGGGGGGGCACATGTGGGGTCCTACAGGGGGAATCCTTTGTGGGGCACCTGGGAGCCCTTGGAGGTGGGCGATGCCCTGGGGGTCCCGAGGGCTCACCTGTCCCCCCAGGTGTCCTACGCCCGGCCCAGCTCCGCCTCCATCCGCGATGCCAACCTGTACGTCAGCGGCCTGCCCAAGGCCATGGGGCAGAAGGAGATGGAGCAGCTCTTCTCCCAGTACGGCCGCATCATCACCTCCCGCATCCTCGTGGACCAGGTGACAGGTGAGCCCAGCTGTGCCCAGGTG